GGTTCCTTAGTTTGAACATTGAGTCCTAAATGTTTAATAAGTGAATGAAAAAGAAAAACCTGTCCACAGACAGGAATAAACCAACAATGTTCATGGAAAAAAAGAATGGAAGCTAACTCTAAAAACAGATGTCCAGCTTTCACTGACTGTGAACCATCCTGTAGTCAATTTGGACATGCTATCCAATGAAGGTTTTGCCTCCTTGCAAACAGTTGTCAGAACTGATGCTGATATCAGCTCGTTTCCCCCCTTAGAATTACTGTTTCTCCGGGCTAGTACAGCACCACACACAGACATGATTGTTCCGGCCAGTGTATAAATGATGGATCAACTATGATACCTAAATCTATCTGCCTAGCTGTTTGAGTTGTCATTAAAACTAAACAGCAATGTATAAATATTCTGGTATACAACTTATAACAAAATATTGTTTAATTGTGATCTAAAAGGTATCGTGTATTTTCTCCATCTTTACATATCAAGTGCGTTATTTTATAAATTCAACTGCCTCTATAGGCCAACAACATCTCTCCAGTCAGGCTGTTTCTATGGACACCAGTGTGGGCTCTACTTCCTACTACACTTACTCGTTGCCAAGAAAACCAAATTCCTCTAACACTTCCCAATGGGAATCACATAATGAAGGTCGGGAAGGTGGACAGCCACAAAAATACTTGGGAAGTATTACTAGCCCAGAAACCACATGACAGTAGCAAAATAGAATGATGGTGAACAGAGAAAGATGACTTGCCATTCTGCTACTAAAGAGACATGGTATAAAAGGATTTGGGTCCACAGTTGCTACCACTTATCACTGGGATTACTGTACATTCAGTAGCTGCCTACATTTGAGTTTTTCCACACACCAGAAGTGCCATGGCAATCTGGAGAAAATCTACAATACAAACTTAAATGTAAATATGGGAATTTCACATTACAGCAAAAATGATCACAAGATCCCTCCTGATTCTAAATAGCATGAATAAACCTGGCAAATCATTTGGAACTGTGGCAATGTAGACACCTTGGGGTGAAAGGAACTGAGATCAGCTGGTTCCATTTTCACAAGAGTTTTTGTTGGTCTTATTTGAGATGGAGTCATAGGAAGATATCATCTACCGGTGAGCCACTTTGGATTATGACTGCATTTCTAATAGCATAATTTGGGGAGTTCAGTGAGAGGACATTACCTGGAGGCTTTTCACCAGCAGGTTTTTTCTTCCTAGCCAAAGTCTTTTTATAGACAAGATTTTGTTTCACAGGTTGAAACCAAAGTTTTTCTTCAGAACCAGTAGGAAAAGTTGGGGATGTGGAAATTTACATAAGACAATTAAATCTCCTAAAGGGCTTGCTATTTGTATTTGGCTATTCCTCCATTTATTTGAGAATCTGAATAAAATGCGGGAAATAAATGCCTTTATTTCTGGTGCAATATTTGTGTGAGTTTTGCAGTCAGATCCTGTTTTTGTGTTACAGATTATTGTTGTGGGCAAAAACACTTCTGCACAAAATGGTCTCAAGACTTGGAATTACATAATTTCCTTTTATTCAATTAATTTTGCCAATTTCTGTCTATAAATTATCGATAAACTGATAGCAATTTTCTCAAATTTATTGTTCAAAAATAATTCTCTAAATAATGTCTTAGTCTGTAGAATGTCAGCTGGTAGCTCATTTTGAGTATTTAATGTTCAGTTTATGGGAATATTCTGGAATACTAGTTCAAATTTCAGTTTAAGTGCACATTCCTGCCAGTAAATTTATTTTCTTGAGAATCATGAGAAGTGAGCACAAAAGAGGTTTAAATAGTCAAAGCAATCTTTTTAAAACAGTAAATGAAAGTTTGTGGGAAATATTTTGCAGTCTTTGCTCAGACCTAAGTGTCACGGCACCTAGGCAGCTTTGCTGTACTTCTGCAACTTTTGCTTTAACTACATTTAATGGGAGGAACATCTTCAAGAAGATGGATTAAGCAAAAACAAACAAACCAAAACCAAAACCACATACCTCAGATAAAAGTGTTAAAGTATTTACAATAAGAAGAGATTTTAGCAGTTTCTTTAATGTACCAATAATTATAATAGGTGTCACATCATGATATTTAACCCACCTCCTTACCTGTTACATGAGGAGTAGAGGGAGTGGATTTACAGCCCTATAATCTAACACTTAGACCACACCCAGAAGGAAAGCAATGTTATCATACTACCAGACCTTCCATTAGAATCTTGTCTGCTTAGTAGAGTGGCTTTCCACCAAAAAATTGAAATAAGGTTCTTGGAAAGTGCTGCTGCACAAGTCTTGTTTGTTTTTTGTTTAAATAAAATGGCTGGCTGGAGTGGCACCAGATAACTGAAATAGATTAGAGAGACAAGTCTTAAACAGTTTGAAGTACTGTCATCAACTTGCCTTCATTCAGTGACCTAATGAATATGCTGTGCTACATGCAGCATGCACAATTTTCAAGAAGCTGTTACAGATTTTTAAAAACCTTGCCGCAGTTATTCCAGGAATTCCCAACCATAGAGGTCTTGACTATGTGTCATGCATCATTAAGCATGATAGCCCTTGACTGCCACAAATCTTAGCACAATACCTGACTGATCAATGCTGAGAACGATTGGGCCCAGTGCAAAGCAGTGAGGTAGGGAAGGTCTGAGGGGTTCCACTCTACAGGCAAGTGGTGTGGCACATGAAACACATTAAAGCACATGAAAAGTAGTTCCACACCCTGCAAGAAATCCTATCTGGTGCCTAACACTTCCACTTCACCTCACAGAGCCCATGAAAGCTATCCTCTTCCCCCCATAAATTTAGAAGGAAAGGCATCTTCCACCAGAAGAATACATTGTCTCCCCAGGCTTAAAGATCTATTTCTGAGTTAGAAGTCAGAGTAGACCACAGGATTCATTCATTCACTGAGGATGTTATGTATTTAAGGAGAAATTTAGCTCTCTGACCTTTCTGGGATGTTAAGGAGACACTTCCCCTTTCAGTTTTATTTCCCAGCACCTGGCTGCTATATATCACAGCCATGGGACGGAATCCTAGACTCCAGCCATGGGAAGGGGATGGGTTTAGTAGGTGCTACTTGCCACTTCATTGTGGTGTCCCAGGCACCCAGAGTTCATTTAGGCATCCGGGAAGCCCGGCAACATCACACAGCTGTTAGTAGCTTCACATCATGAATTCACGTAGGGCCTGGATTTGATCCCATTTATGTATGTATGAGTAGATACATAGAATGCACATTATCATGAATTCTAACCAGGATATTCTCTAGCAAAGCCAGATATAACAAGCATACTACATACAGAAGAAAAAAATAAAATGACTGAACTAGCTATGACAATTAATGCAGTTAGTGGAGTATTTCCATAAGGAGCAGATTCCGTAACAGTCTGCCCAAACCATTAGCGTGGTAGAAAGGATTTCTTAAGTGACTTACTGTAATACAAGCACTGAGAATATACATAACCATCGCAATTAGATTCTAAATATTGTATACAAAACACATTCTTGGGATCCTCTTTCACTGAAGTACTGTTTCTATTGTGAAAGAACAATGCACGCAGCATTCTGGGGTGCTCCAGAGGCTGCCTTGCCGCAGGAAATTTCCACCAAGGTGAAACAACTGAAGATGTCTGAGGGGGATGATAGGAAGTGGGTGCACCTTTGGGTAAACAGTAAATTAGTCCAATGAAGTGGGTATTCACCCACGAAAGCTTATGCTCCAATACATCTGTTAGTCTATAAGGTGGCACAGGACTCTCTGTTGCTTTTTACAGATCCAGACTAACATGGCTACCCCTCTGATAGTAAATTAGTGGTCTCCAGACAGTGATTTTCTGGGGGTTGATTTTAGTTCCTCCTGATGGTCAGTTGTTTTTAAACTGGAATATGGGCAAGTAGGGAGCTGTAGGAATTATAACATATTTCTACCAACACATCTGATTGTTTCTTAAGCATCATGTCCATTTATGGGGTTACAATAGAAAAAAATATGTAAAAAATCCAAATAGTACCTAAAAAAGGTCAAGTTAAGCAGTCTGAAAACAATAGCAAACACATACATACACACACACACACACACACACACATACATATACAACTATTTCCATAGTTACAGTATCTGTGTGCTAAGCAAACCGAAGACTAGTATTAGTAATACAAGGAGAATTCAGGACGAATAGTTATTTATTGGACAATAAGTAGACTGGGTGCATAACAAAAGTAGCCATAAAGCAGACTTCTAATGACAATTTCCAGGCCACTTAAAGGGACACTCACTGTCAACTTGATTGTTTGGAAACTGACTAATTTTAAAATATCCCAGTTTCTGCTAGCACACCTTAAAATTATATCTTTTTATAAAACATTTCTTTTAAATGTTTTAAAGGCTTTTTCTGCTCACGCTGATCTTTATAAGCAAGAATAAAACTGAGGCTACAGGGGAAATCAAAACTGACTATACACAAAATGCTGTCAAATGCATAAAATAGACTGAAATGGAGAAAATTATTTTGCTAACCTTTCAATTATAGTAATTTTAAGTGTTATTTGTCACTGTAGTAGGTACAGTATTTCCCAACTGAAATGTGATTTTCTAGTTGACTGTCCCCCTTTATAAAAGGAAGCCATAACTGCCCAAAGACCTCTCCCAGATTTTTACTGACTTTTGGAGTAATGCTTAGCCCAATGGGTCCGAAGCTTCTGCCTCAGACACAAACTCATTTTGCACTATTGTGCCACATGAGGAAGTCCTATTGTCTTCTATTGATAGCACTGAAGAAAGAAAGACAATGGAGAAAGGCTACATGCTGCTAGGAAACATAGTTGCCACCTTGTGAGTGCAGAAAAAATACTACTAGATTCCATGGATGCTCTTTTGGGCAGGTCTTTTTGTTACCTGTGGAGGACAATGGGGCTTGGGCCTCTAGACACTACTGAACTGCAAATAATAATAAGCCAACACATAGAAGAAACCCAGAAGTACTCACCGTCTGGTTATCCTCATACAGTTTCAAGTCATATCCACTCAGCTCCACGCAAAAAATTATTGCTGTAACCCCTTCAAAGCAGTGGATCCATTTTTTGCGCTCAGACCTCTGTCCACCCACATCCACCATTTTGAAAGTTAGCTCTTTGAAGGTAAATTTATTTTCCACAATCCCTGTGGTCATGTCCCGAGAACGCAGAATATCTTCCACTGTAGGGATGTAGTCCAATGCCGCAATCCTTTCTAGGTCATTCAAATAGTATGCAGCATTATCCTCTAGGTGGTATTCATTGGATCGGCAGAAGCACTCCTGCACACCGGGGTCTGCCCAGAGCCGCTTCATGACTCCCAGAAGCTCAGGAGTAATCTCTCCTTTGCTTTCAGCTGGGCCAGTCAGGGCAAAAAGCTGCACGGCATCATAGGCCCTGTCAGGATTGTGGAACTCTATCTTAAGGGTGGCTAGAGCACGAATGATGCGTGTGAGGGAGTCAATGGCATTATAGATAATTAGAGGTTTGTATTCCTTGCAAGCCTCCAAGTTAAAGCCACCACTGTGAATGATTTTCATTTGCTTGACAATAGTACTCTTGCCAGAGTTGCTTGTACCCAGGAGTAGGAGCTTGATCTCACGTCGTTGTCGCTGACTCTCAGAGCGCAGGTGGCGGTCAATCCTCCGGGACCGCCGCGCTGCCTCTTTCTCCTCAGAGCTTTGCCTACATCCCATGGTATAGCAGACAGTAACAGAAGAGGAGAACTGGAGATTCTCTCTCTCTCTCCGTCTCTGAGCAAGAGCTGCAATATCTTTCAATTCTCGTGCCAGGTGCACCCTGTGGGAAAAAAATCACTATCCAATACCTGATGGGCCAATAGGCCTGTACCAACTAGTTCAGTCCCAGCAGGGGTGCACACAAATGTAGAAATGCAACCACAGACAGATAGTCTCCTCAGTAGATCTCATGGCACTCCCCTTTCCTGTGAATAAACAGTGGCACATTCCTGTTAATGAAAGGACACTTCCCTATTCCATAGTGTGGCTGGATCAGTCAAATATTCTTTTCTCTTCTGCATAATTATTTTGCTCTCTTCTATCCAAAGGTAAGGAGCTGCACCTTCATATGCTCCGCTTTAGCCCCAGTTGTCTTTTAATTGTCTTTTCTGGTTGCTGTGGCGATGCTGTTAGTTACAGCTGAAGGTCTGGTACGGTTTTGTTGTGTTTGTTTTGTTTCTCCCCCCACTTCTTTAGGCTCATCCAGTTCAGATCTGTGAATCTGGGCTCTCCACCTGTCAAACAGTGAGAGAAAAGAAATTAATACAATTGGGGGACTTTGTTTCCCTTCTGCAGAACATTCACTTTTTCTCTGCTTCTGACACTTCTGAACATTGTATTACCCCAAATACAATCCCGATGGAAAATGTGTAAAGAAAAGCAATAAAAATCTTCTAAATACTGCAGAAATTTAGGGACAGCTTGAGTCTGCAGACCTTAGAAAATGTGTACCCTGAGCAATAGTAAATCAAATCCCCTTTTCTCTCCAGCCTTCTGTGTTTTTATTACCCAAATCCACGTGAAAACAAACAGTGCTGAGCTCTGTCCCAATTCTCTCTCAGCAAGAGCTGATGGCAGCCCTTTTCCGGCACAGCCCTGTTCTGACCGGTTTCCCAAAGTAGAGTACATGAAAGAGATTCACAGCTACTTTACCCCTCCCTCATTTATATTTATATTGTTGTCTGGCACTCAAATGTGTGTACACATGTCCTCCTGATTCTTCTTTCATCATTTCTATCCATTTTGTTTGCATTGAACATTTTTGTAAATAAATGATTAAATGAAAGGTGGGGATTAGGTTTGCATGAGGGTTTTATGAAAGGGTTTATCTGAAGAGGCACAATTATTGATCTTTGCAGGAAACTTGTGACAAGGTGTACCAGCCTCGCAGTCCTACTACACCCAGCCTCGGGGAAAGAGCTGCGAAGGTGGGCCCTCCAGGTCTGTCTAGAGAGGCAGAACAGAAGCAGCCAATCAGAGCCCAGCAGACGCAGATAAAAAGAGCTAAAGGGGCTTAGCAGGTCAGTTCCTGGCTAGGATTAGAAGGGCAAGGGAAGGTGCTTCTCTTTGGCCACAGGAGCTTGACTGATTGCATTTGCTCAAGCTGGGAGAGAGAGGACATGAGAACTTTAACCCTAAGGTAAGGGGTGAAGATAAAGGGCCAGGTGGGAAAAGGCCCAGGGAAATAGCTGTAACTAAATGAAAGGAACAGTATGTGGCTGTTCTTTATAGGGTCCCTGGGTTGGAAACTGGAGTAGTGGGCAGGCCTAGGTTTCCACTGGTGAAGTAGCCTAAGCTTGGGGAAGGCTTGTTTAGAAGCCTGAGTGCAGGACTGAATTTAAAGGGTGAGAACCAGGGCTAATGACCCTGGTGAGGGCAGACAGTTTATTGAACACTTTGCTACCCTGGAAGGGGTTCATTTTTGACTGTGACACCCAGTCTAATGGGTGAGCCACTGAAGACCCTCCAAGTGAGGCTGATAACCTACAGGGTGCCAGCAGCAGGAAAAGGTCTGCAGTACCATATGCAGCAGTGGGAGGGACTCAAGAGATGTGTCCACTGGTACAGAAACATTAACAAATTCTTTCTTCCCCTTAGAAAACAATATTATGTAGGGTATGATGCCTGTGCCCAGCTTAACTGATACAGCGATATACTAGTCAAACAGATCATTCTATTTTAACTCCCCCGCTTACAGTTTTATCACAGTAAAACTAGGGAGCCATTAATATACAAAGTGGATGTTTTGTATGAGGAAGAGAAAAGTATGACAGTTCATGGAGTTCTGACTGACCTTCATATACTGGTAGTTGTGATACTCTGGAAAGTAGACTGAGGGTAAAATTTTAAAAAATGCCTAAGTCTCATTTTCAAAAGTGACTTAGGAGAACAAGTGTCATTGCTTTTCAACGAGACAGACTCCTAAGAGCAGGAGCACCACCAGCTTTTCTGCCGCCCTAGGCGGCAGAAGGTCCCGCCCCGAAATGCCGCCCCCCACAGAGGCAGCGGAAGGTCCCACCGCCGAAATACCGCCACGGTCGCAACTGCCTAGGTCGCCTAATGGGTTGCGCCGGCCCTGCCTAAGAGCCTGACGCACTCTTGAAAATGGAACTTAGGTGTTTTTGAAAATATTATCCCAAATGAATCTCCTGGCCTTTCAATCTAGACAGGACAAGGCACTAGAAAATGCATTAAAGGGAACAATTCAGCCTACCAGGGGGGTGAACTTGGTCTAACGGAGCTTGTCCATTTCTAGTTCCTATGAGCTAGATTCAACCTTTAGTGAGTCCTGAAAACAGACTGTGACTTAGTCACTGTTCCTTCCCTGTGCCCCCATGATCCTGGAGGGAAGTAATTTAGTACAGCCCTTTATAGCATGAAGCTTACCTTCTCTCTACTCTTGTCAGTTCCGCTGGCTAGCACTTTGGATGGTGAGGCTGGAGCCAAGGCTCTGCCTACTCTTCATCCACTGGCTTGGGAGGGAAGTACCAGGTTCACAGGTCCGATTCTCCCTCTGCCACACTGGAGCCATGATGTGAGGATCAACTGCACAGCTGTGCAGTAGAGTGATGTCTCACTGCCATATGACTACTTTAGTCAGGGCTCAATCTGGTCTTTTTATGACTTTCTAAAGCCAATCTTTCATCTTTTTTAAAAAAACTTTTGATCAGTGCAGCAGTTCTTTTATAAGGTGCTATAGTATTTCTTTGAATGGCCTTGTGAAGTTTGCTATTTGCACAGTTTAGTTTTGTTGACAGAATTCATCAGCAAGGGACTTAATGAGATCTACCCTCCCCAAACAGGTGTCATTGCAGCAGAGGGTAACTATAGCAGAGGATAATTTTAGCTAGTACCAAAACAATCTAAATGGAGATACAGTATCAGGGAGCAAACTGCCCTCATTTATACCCATGCAACCTGCCAATGAAGTCAACTTCCAGTTGACAGCGGTTGCATCGGTATTAAATGGAGGCAATTGAGACCAGATTTTATTTCATAGTAGTACTTTATGTGTAAATGGGAAACAAACCTTTTCCTTTCCTTGGAACACTCATCCCTAAGTGGTGGGAGGATGAACTGCTATTTCTAGGATTTCATCCTTCAGTGAGGTGATGAAACAAGTTTGGTGATCTCACTTCCTCTGCTTAGCAGCACACACTGCTATTCTAGTGCTATATTTACTTTAAACCTTTATAACAATGGACTCTGAGCAACATGTGTATCTTAATTTTAGTTTCTGTCATGCACTTGTCATCACTTGACAAACTTGAAGCATGTTGCAGATATCTCTTGCTCTGTGCTGAGCCCTTAGGTACATAGGTATAGATTGTGTCTGCATTGGGGGCCTTAGCCTCCATTATTCTGAATAACTGGGGCCTGCAATTATGCAGCAGTGCCTTGACGTTATGCAGGTTCATGTGCTGCAAAATCTTGATTCACAGCACAGGTTCTATAACATCTATACGAAATCATACCAAAAGGGCCGAAGTATATGCATAAAGAAATGCAAACCCAGTAGCAGCAAAAATCATTGTTAACTCCTCCAACATGCAGTTAAAGGGTTTATTTAAGGGTGGCCAAAGTCCACAAACAGCAACTGTGCCCTCTCTTTGAGCCTTTCCATGCTCTTAACTTGGTGTGTAGGCTTTGAGGGACAGTTGAGGCCTCTACTACTTATTTCCCAAGTTTATTATTTGCGGATTGTGTCTTTCTTCTTAAGCAGAGTCTGAGTTAGTTATGGATTTAAAGCATAGACTGCAGAGCTGTGGGGGCCTCCTAGGGTATGGCCCAACCACTTAAACAAGTACATGGAAGTTAGGGTTGCCTCTTGGCTGGTTTTTGACTTGCCGTGCTGTTTTTTCTACTTTCTTGACCGTTGCCAGTTGAGAGCTGTAATTTACCTTTTTTTTTTTTTTTTTTTTTTTTTTTTGCTGCATGTGTGACCACACATGCAGCAATTTGTAACCCATGGCCACACATATTATGGCTGGGGGATGCACCGCACCTGGCATCTGGGTCCCATTCTGTATGCACAGTGTGCCACACGCCAGGCCCTCACTTTCCAGCTGCCAAAACTACAGCAGCTTCCCTCAGCACCAAGGAGCAAGTGCGAAGCAGGACAGACCTGTCACCTGAGGGCAAGGTTTGCCAGTAGGGAGGGGTAAGGAGCAGGATGGGGGAGGAAGGGATCCTGGGAGTGGATGGGACAGGGAACTCCCTCAAGGGCTGAGGCTCTTGGGAGGAGTCGGGGTAGGTGCTCATGGACTAGGTGGGTCAGGTTGCTGATGAGGGTGCCAGAGAAAGAAAGATGAGGGCCAGGCAGGAGTGGGGGAAAGCAAATCTAATCTCCCCCACTTTAAATGGTACTTCACAACTCCTGGTTTAAGGAAGACTTGAGACCGAACCACTGTAGACACTGAAAAAAGCATGGCCCCCCGAAAGTGTCAGAGGCGTCCCTATGGATCAGAGTTGGCATTAACAGCAGAGCTGTATTGAGGCGAGTTTCAGACTATTACCTACAACAATTTGCTCTGCAAGTAAAAACAATCTATACTTCTGTAGCCAAAGTTGGCATTCTCACTACAGAAAAAGTTGTAGAACTGGGCCGAACAGACTGTGCTTCAAAGTCCCATTCATTCCTGACTGTCGCTGTTTCAGATTCCCAACCTCTGTTGTTAACATGTACATTTTTGAAACAGCTGCTTGTACACCTGTTCTAATGAGGGTTTTCATAACATTGGCTACACCTTTTCATATCACCACATCACCTTTTCTTCCTTGTTGCTATTTAAATCTCTGACCTCTCTCCTCCTTTCATTTAATTTAC